ACTTAAGTGGGAAATATCATAAAATATCATGTAGTATCTAATATTTTTCAGCTCTCCGAGCTAATATAGAAATATTATGTTAGCTTTTGCAAAAATGAGTTACTATTAATATTTAATATCGAAAATAGTACTATTACTATCAAAAATATCATATGATATTTGGTTACCATTAGCCCCTGCTCGGATGAGCGAGCGCAATAAACAACAAGTTTACATCCGCGACACGCCCCAAAGAATATGACCGGTGCTTGGCTGTTATGTGAGCAAAAATGGTGTCCGAGCGGATCCTGAGAAGGTCTCGTCCATCTGTGCGTGGCCCACGCCGCAGAATCAGACTGAATTGCGTCAGTGGCTTCGCCTCGCAAATTATCTCCACAAGTACACGAAAAATTACACTGGTCTGATCCAGCCATTGTCTTCATTGCTGAAGAAAGATATCACGTGGTCGTGGACTCCCGAACATCAGTCAGCCTTTAATGCAGTGAAGAAAAGCTTGGCGGAGGCCCCAATCCTGGCGCTTCCAGATGACTCAAAGTCATTCCACGTTGTTTGCGACGCGAGCGACTTCGTTATCGGCTGTGCACTGATGCAGTTCGACGACGAAGGTCGCGAACGCGTCGTGAGTTACCAATCCAGACAGATGAAGCCCGCTGAGAAGAATTATCCGGTCCACGACAAGGAACTCCTTGCGATGCGCTACGCACTGATCAAATTCAGAGTGTACTTACTCGGTGAGCAGACATTCGCGATCTACACAGATCACGCGTCGCTGCGAACAGCGACGAAGAGCCCTCATCTCTCTCAGCGCATGGCACGATGGCTGTCATTCTTCTCCGAGTACAACTTCGTCGTCCACTACAAGCCAGGCAAGAATAACATCCTTGCGGATGCCCTATCTCGGCGCCCCGATTACGATCCACGCCGAGATTTGGGTCGTCAGTCACTTGAAGACGCGGACGACGACAAATTGAAGTGCGCCACATGTGTGGCTGCAGGTGTGAACCTGATGACGGCAATATCTCTAATACTTCCCCTGCGGGAAGAGATCTCTGCCGCGTATCGAGATGACTCGATATATGCCGGTACCTTCGCACACCAAGTGATGCCACGCTAAAGACACTGAGCCGCTCCACACGCGACCAGATTCACCGATACCAACTTGACGGTGATCTGCTGATGTACAGTATCGATAGATTCGATGCTTCTCGCGTCTTTGTCCCCAACGACCCCGATCTACGCGCAAGAATCATACACTAATTCCATGACGCTGCAGTGGGTGGCCACTTGGGCCGTGATAAGACTTTCGCAGCGGTATCCCGCGACTTCTACTGGCCTCACCTATACAAGTGGGTGCGCAAGTGGGTCCGCTCCTGCGAAACTTGTCAACGCGTTAAACAGTCACCGTCATCACAAGCTCCGCTGCGTTCTCTCCCTCTGGCGACAGAGGCGTGGCGCTCTGTGTCAATGGACTTCATATTCGGTCTCCCACACGATACTGACGGTCGTACTGGTGTTCTGGTCTTCGTAGATCGCTTTAGCAAGATGTGCCATCTCGTTCCGATTCCGGAATCAATCACCGCGGCCGATACCGCGGTGCACTTTGTCGACGCTGTCTTCCGACATCACGGCCTTCCTGAATCAATCGTCTCTGACCGCGATCCCCGATTCACATCGGCGTTCTGGACGAAACTCTTCGACCTCCTGGGCACCAAACTTCTCATGTCGACGGCGGCGCACCCGGAGACTGACGGGCAAACGGAACGCGTCAACCGCGTGCTAGAAGATGTTCTGCGCAGTTACGCCCCGTCCTTCGAGAACTGGAGTTCCTTCCTGCCTCTTGCGGAGTTTGCACTCAACAATGCCGAACACGCGTCGACGGGATTGACTCCGTTCTTCGTCAACAACGCGCGTCATCCACGTGTCCCCGCACAACTTGCTGTGGGCCAACCCACGGCGACTAATGGCTTCACTCTGGAGGGGGAGGAATGTGATAACCCTGCCCAACCGGTTCCGATACTGGTTCAATCACCGGTTTCCGGTGAGACAACGGTTCTGCCGTCTACGAGTTCAGCTACTCCTGCAGTAGACATCAACGCGGTGACACGTTTACAGTCGAAGAAGATCCTCGCACCCGCGCAATTCACGTCGTCGCCGTTAGTTGACTGGACACACCGAACGCTGATCGCTCCAGCGCGACCCGCTGACAGGGCAGCGGTATCCGACTTTGTCCTTCATCGCCAATCGGCTACCTGATTCATCCGTGACGCGCTACAACTCGCGGTTGACAAGCAGAAGGAAAACGCTGATAAACGTGGCCGCAAGAACACAAGTTCATCAAGATAGGTGAGCGTGTATTACTCTCAACGGACGGAATTCGTACCTCTGCTATTACGAACCTAGGCGCGAGCAAACTCGCCCCGCGCTACATTGGGACATTCAAAGTACTATGAGTTATGGGTGATGCCTACACGCTAGACATTCCTACGTCGCTACGACTACACCCGACGTTCTACGTCGGGCGACTTAAGAAATAGCTTCCCGCGATGATCCCGGAGGCGGAGCAGGAGCATGCGTTGAGCGGCCCTCGCGATGAGCCTGTCGACCCAGCGTCTCATCTATCCCAGTTCCCCGCTCGCGCGGAAAGAGCTCCACCCCTCGGTCTGCCAAACACCTGCGCCTTCCAGACTACGCAGTCGCTGCAAGAGTTCACGATTCGACTGCCGCAGACTACTCGCCGTCACCTTCGGTTGTTCCGAGAGCTCTCAGCCGCCCGCTCGGCCTTCTTTCCTTGATGTCGTCCACGAGAGTGTTCAGCGCCTGCTTCAACGTCGTCC